CCCCCGCCCACATCACACATGATTCCTTCTTTAAACGACACGTTACATCATGACTCACAGGTGGAAATAAAAAAAAAGAGCATCATTGTCCCTGTTTTATAGTTTTTACCCCATTTCCTTTGGGTTTGTTTGTTTTTGTTTTTTAAGCTTGGTGTGAACCTGCAGCTCCTGCTACGGTTTTCTTCGGCGCTCAGGTGCCACTCTGTGACCCCCCACCCCCCACCCGTGCAGCCTGTGTCCGTCCAAACCGGTCCAGTTCTGGGCTCAGAGAAAGAACCAAAACAAAAAGAGGGGGTTCGGACCAGAGGACGTCACTGCACCGGAGACTGTCCTCCGTGGTGAGGCGGGCTGTCCCCGTACATGTCCTCTCCCCCTCCCGCTATCTGTCCCCCGACCGGCGTCATCCTCTTCTCCTTCTGCCGCCGGTTACAGAACCAGACCCGGACCACCTCCTTCTCCAGCTGCAGGCTGTCCGCCAGCGAGTTGATCTCCGCCGCCCCCGGTTTTGGACACTTGAGAAAATGGCTCTCCAGAGCCCCCTTCACGCCCACCTCGATGGAGGTCCTCTTTTTCCTCTTCCTGCCCTGCGCCGCGATCTTGTCCAGACTGGTGGGGCTCCCCGACGTGGAGTCCGCCTCCTCCAGCCACTTGTTCAGCAGCGGCTTGAGTTTRCACATGTTCTTGAAGCTGAGCTGCAGCGCCTCGAACCTGCAGATGGTGGTCTGGGAGAACACGTTCCCGTACAGGGTCCCGAGGGCCAGGCCCACGTCCGCCTGCGTGAAGCCCAGCTTGATGCGCCGCTGCTTGAACTGCTTGGCGAACTGCTCCAGCTCGTCCGAGGTCGGCGTGTCCTCGTCCGAGTGGTCCTGGTGGCCCCCGTGCTGCTGCTGCTGATGCTGGTGCTGGTGGGCCCCATGCTCGCTGAGGTGCGGGCTGTGGCTGTGGTGGTCCTCGTCCCTCAGGGGGTGGTGGTGCATCCCTCCTCCTCCTCCTGCTCCTCCTCCGCCTCCTCCTCCTCCCTGCTCCCCCGCCGGCATCAGGGTGAAGCCGGACTGGGAGTAGACCAGGCTCTGGCCCTCAGACGTCGCCATGTCGGCGCTGGTTCGCCATGCTCTGGCGTCGTGATGCGCCTGCTGCTGGTGCGTCAGGTGGGGGTGTCGCTGCTGCTGCTGCTGCTGCTGCTGCAGRCTGCCGGAGTTCTGCAGCTCCTCTCGGTCACTGTCATGCAGGATGGGCTTCACGTCCTGCTCTCCAAGGGGACTGGGAGGCCACGGCGTCCCGCTGTCACCGTGCGACAGCGCCGCGATCCACTGGTGCGCGTGGCTGAGCGGATGCCCACCGTAGTCGCTCTGGAGCAGGCTGTGCGCGTCCCTGTACGCCGCCGCCTGCTGCATGCTCCCGGAGTCCGCGTGAGGAGGAGGAGGAGGCGGCGGCGGCGCGCTGCTGGGGGGGCTCAGGACGCTGTAGTGGTTGGACGCTGCGGTCGCCATCCCTCCCGGAGCCGGAGTGGCTGCCTTTGACGGGAACTCTTTTGCGCCACGGGGCAGCGAGGCGTCTCTCTCCAGCATCTCCCGGGCGCTGTGCCAAGGGGACGCAGAGGCGCGCACCTGTGGTCCGCCTCGCTCCGCTCTTTATTGGCCGAGAACTGGTTGACAGATGTGGTTACCCCTGACAGCACCCCGCTCATTGGTCACGGGAGAGCGTGGTGAAACCCCCACCCCCCCAGCCGCGCTGCCCCCCCAAACAATGCGCGCAGTCCTGCGGCGTGTTTGGGTGAACAAAGTGCAGCGACGTTCAAACACAGGAAATAAATTAAAAATAAGAAAAAAAAAAGATCCCGCTGGTGGTTGCAGTTTATCAGCACTGATTTGGGTCAGTGGGTCACGTTTCGTTTGCGTCAAAACGCTGCGTAAAAGTTTTCGAGTTTCATTCATCAAGGATGTTGAGATTTAAAAAAAAAATACAAACTTTGCGCATCAAAATTTAGAATCTCCGCAAATCTCGTCGTTTCTGTTTTTGGAGCGGTGTGTCGAAGAGAGAGCGAACTTCCAGCTGCCTCTGCGGCCTCAGGACGCTGTCCACAGAGAGAGGACCGCGTGCTTCCAGCTTCTGCCCGGTTGCCATGGCGAACGCGCTGAATGGAACAACGAGACCCACGTCACAGCTGCAGTTCGCTGCTTCTCTTCCAAAAAGAGAGAGAGGAAAAGAAAAAGAAAAAAAGGGTGGTGGTGGTGGTG